GGTGGGTGGTGGGTGGTGCGTGGTGGGTGGTGCGTGGTCCTTGCTACCTTTCCTGCACAGGCCTCCATGGCTAGCACAACGATGAAGCCAAGAGAGCCGTTCGCCTGGCAAAAATGAAAACAAGGTTTAGCGGGGTTTTGGGGTAGAAGGGTTAGGGTTTGGGGCTTTAGGGGATAGGGGTGAAAATTTCAGGATTCATAGGTTTGGGTTTCAGGTTTCAGGTTCTGGGTCCAGGATCTAGAATGTAGGGTCTGGAGTCTCAGGGATGGTGGCACTAAATCCTACAACTCTACACCCTAAACCCCCAAAAACCCTGAACCACAAGCCAGAGCAGTCGGCCTGCCTCCGACAAGCTCTCTAGGGTCGTCTCCAGAATGCTCTCGTCCTCCTGCGTGGTCGTTGGCCCATAAACTTTTCAGTTTCAGTGCGCAGAAAGCTTGCAAGATTCTGTCAATGCATGAAATTTGCACCACCTAAGCGCCTTCAACTACTGCCATCCTAGGCTAACCAGTACTTGATCGGTGCAAGAGTTGCTGCCCAAACCCTATGTGCTTGAAGCCGTCCTGCCTCACGAACAGGGACTTGACAGCGGCAGGAACAAAATAGGCATGTGTCAAAATCCTATTCACCCTCATAGCTAAAAGGGACCCATGATTTTAGCCCCCCTGTCTCTCTCAGTCCTTGTAGTTTGGCAGCACAATGGTGTGCCGAACATTATCCTTCCAAGACGCGCATCACACGTTGGAGGCAAGCACACTGGGTCTTGGCCTGGCTCTCGTCGGCAACGGAGCCAGCGCTGCCTTGTGCCTGCGCAATGCACGACATGGCAGGCCATGCAGAGGGTGCTCTCAAGCTGGACGGGCACCTCCACCTTGTGCAGCTCGTCCTGTGAAACAAGGCATATTGGTGCAACGGTGCCCTAACAATCTGCAGGTATGGAAAAAATCCTTAGGCTTCCAGTCACTGTTCAACACTATGAGCTGCCCAAGAATGGGCTCTTTTCGCGAGAGTGCCCCGAACAAGGGCTATCAATGCTTGGAGAACTTCGTTCAGGCTCAGTAAGCTGGTCCTCGGCTGCGGAAACGCCGAGCATGCAGAAGATTGCCGTTGAGACAACCCACAGCCACATTGCCACATTTAGCGTGGCGGTGATTGTGAGCAGCAGGAGCGCATTCCTGGCAATTCAGTAGATGCTGATTCTTGTCCTGCATTGCCCACCTGAGGGCCACCTGTTTCAGCAACCCGTTCCCTTGCGTAATAGGGATGTCAATCCAGGTTCTCCTATCTGGGCCCTCATAGCCTGGAGTTCCTTGCAAGGATTACAGTTTACATTCCACGTCCCAATATCAAGGTCCTCAGTCACTCATGGAACTTCAGGGGTCTACAGTACCCCCTCGCTGGGACACCACAAGCCCCGGAGGCCAAAATGCCCAAAACATGGTTCCTGCCCGAATGCTTGCCAGAGGTGCCAGAGAACACCGAAGAATAGCAAAAGGACCTCAGAAAGCTTCTGTCTGAGACTTGTGCCAGAGTTCCAGTGCTTGCCTGAACCAAACTTAGTGCCCAAACAGAAGGATTCCACATATTGGGGACCCCTAAACTTACTGTGTTGTAATAGGGAATAAGGGAATGTATTATATAGGGATTACACAGGGCTAGTATTCCCTTCCCCACAGCAAAGCCCAGACTGACTCCCTTGATAGCCCACTTATAATCTCACAATAATGCAGAGGAGGTTTTTGTTTTGATAGGTTTGGGTGGCGGGATTTCTGTAGTAGGTCGATAGATTCACTTGTATGTGAATTTCTCAAAAATGCAGCAGTAAAATTCTACGGACGTCCCTAGCGTCGCTGAGGGCCGCCTCTTTGAAGAACCCTTGATCCTAAACCCTAAACACTGTAAAGCGCTGTACCCTTTTAAAAGGGTCTAAGGGGCCGTGTTCTCAGAACTCTGTGCAAAGAATTTCCCACATCAAAGCGTCTTCTGGGAATCCCTAGAATAAGGATTGTACTGTATTGCAATCTACCTAGGAGCCCCCCCCCCGGTTTTTGGAAACCACCCATATTAGCCTATACAAACCTGTAAAAACAACTATGTAGGCCCCAGCTTTCATCTCATCTGCCATTGAATCTCCATTCCACCCTGTAGACACCCTAAACATTGTACACACCCTTTTCCCCCCATATAGCCTCACATAACATGCCCTAAAACTCCAAAACCCTAAACCCTATATGGGCCTAGGCGCAATTGTCATGAAGACGAGGAAGGGGACACTTCTGGCCACCAAAGCCGCTGATCGGGCCTGCTGAAAAAACTGGGTTGCTCTTAAGGAATTTGATTTAAGTTACCACAATATGGGTATATAGTAAATAATAGGGTTTCCTTAATACAGTAACTTAATCTAAGTTCCTTAGCAGCCACCCAGAAAAGCCAGAGGATTAGGGGGACAGGGCTTGGGGGGATTTGGGTTTAGGGGCTTGGGACCTAGGGGGTCTAGGATTTAGATGTTTAGGGGGTGTAGGGTTTGCTGGGTCTAGGAGTCTAGGGGTTTAGGGTTTGGTGCCTTAACTGTTTGAGGCTTGGAGCTGGGTTTAGAGGGTATACAGTCCCTCGGGATGCTTAAGAACCCAAACCCTAAACCCTAAAGCATAGGGTTTAAGGTTTTGGGTTTAGGGTTTAGGGGTTTAGGGTTTAGTGTTTAGGGGTTTAGGGTTCAGAGAACCTAAACCCTAAGCCCTGAAGAAGAAAGATATCGCAATCGCAATGTTGGAGCCTAGCTTCGATAACGGCAGTAATGGACAGCCCAAGCCTCAATATAAAGCCTACAAATAGGTACATGGGGATATATAAGGTTATGTAACGGGATTTAGGGTTTAGGGCTTACAGCTTCCAAGCATTAGGGACCCCTTTTGGAGAGCCCCTACAACAAGCATTATACTGCACAAGGATCCATACTGAGGCCCTCCATTTATGGACTCGAATTACCACGTTCCCTAACCTGAAACCTAAACCCTAAACCCTGAACTCTAGGCGGCCTCATGGATGTTCACCTTGTAGAATGGATAGATGGGTTTCTCATCTTTGCTGCCTTCCATGAAGATCTTGTCCGCCTCAGCAAGCAAATTTGACCATAGGTACATACAGGCTTTCTTATAGCCTCCAATAATGCAGAATCAAATGGAAAAGAAAACCAAGATGAGATGGACACGATGATTGTATAGTAGTTCTTTGCGGGGTGCCCCGAATCGGGATTGTGTGTGCGTTTCAAGATTTGCAAGCCATAGCGCCTTCATGTAGGGATCATTCAACAAGCACATGCCTAAACTTAACTTGGATGGCCATTAGAGCCTGTTGAAAATACTAATATACAGGGTCCTCATGAAACCAATAAGGAAACTACTTAGATGTCCCAAAAGGCCAACCCAGTGAATAATCAGGATTTTGCAGTAACCCCAAACCCCAAGTAATAAACCTGAATCCTAAGCCCCAGAAATTCGGTAACCCCAAACCCTAAAGCAAGGATCCCACATGGTCATATGATAGTCATTGGGCCTGACATTCCAGGTCAGGTTGCCCGATGATCGTCAGTGCATAAATATATATATATAAACAAGTTAATACTTGGAAAATACACACATGCACAAATTTACATACATTCAGTTATACATAAGCGCACTATCTACAGTCATGGGAATACATATATGTATTTACGTATATATATATGTGTGTATATATATACATATACTATATGCATCTCTGACAGGCGTTCCACGTCGACCAAGTTGCGCACTGAGGGGGTTCAATATCGGAACAAATCTGGTTCAGTATCCAACATGGTGAGCCACTACGGCTCTGGCAATGCCAACTTCAGCCTGCTTGGAGATTTCTGGGTACCCTCCCGGAAACTAACATGGAAACCCAACAAGGGCCCTAAAAAGACTACAGTCCCCTGAAAGGGGGGTCTATATGGGTTTGCGTGTTAGTTGGGGGTAGTGTAGTTGTAGGGGAGGTTGGCTAAGATCAGCCAACATGCAGCTGGCTGGTGTTGACAAGACAACTCGGTGTGCTCAGACACGATGCAGAGACGCAGCTTTTCAACGCACAAGACTCGTACAGAGCAGGGACATCCCATAAGAACCAACCTGCATGAACAAGAAAATGTGATGTTGTGAACGTACTTGGGGTGACATGTGTAGGGTTGAGGGGCTTGGGGAGTTGGGCAAAATGCAGTAATGTCAACACTCATCCAAATACATAGCCAACGGCCTGGGTGAAACGTGGTCAAGACTGCTTCAGTCTTCTCAGTAGGGACCTGCCCAAGCAACAGCAAATGAGCTATAGTCTAAACGGCTAGCATACCCCTTTATAAGCCCTATAATACTCCCATATAAAATCTCTGATCTAACCCCCTTTAAGGAGTTTAGACGATAGCTCGAATGGCTCTCAAGGCTCTCGGAAAATCGACATGGCATGCATAGTGACAACTCTTGTTATGTAACTGAGAGTAACAGTAGCAAGAGATCTGCTTAGCGCCCTCTCCCTGCTAAGGTATTTCAATGAAACTGCATGGGCGATCCTAGTGAGTATTCAACTCTTTACGCCACAGGACCTTTGGTGTATTACTTTTCCCGAATCGGTTTTTTTTAGCAAAATTTGGTAGCCTAATTATAATTGCACTGAGGAAGGTCTTAACAAATGTGACATCACTAGGCACCCACACTCATGTTCTCATGTTCGACTTCAGTAGCGGAAGAAGATGTCCCGCCCACGAATGATCATGACATGGCCCATTCGATATGCAAACTAAACCACTTATAGTCCCCTGTAAGTAAATAGCATATGGCTTTGGGTATATTCTAATAAGATTCCCATATACCCCATATTCTATCTACTTAAGGGGGACTATGACCCTAGGGAGCGGTTACATCAGGTGAGTCCAGCCTTCTAAGTAGCCGTAGGTACCAAGATTTGAAATGAAACCAAACTGGGTTGGCCCCTAAACCCCTCTGAACAATATTCATATGTAGGGTCCTAGGGAAATAAAACCCAGGGGCTTGCCCAGAAAACTTCAGCGAATCCGGCACTGGAATTAGTACTCAGCAATGGAGTACGTCTCGCCCCACGAGTGAGCATGACATGGCCAGTATCGACCTCCTAGTTCCCTAACACCACCATGTTCCAAGTGGACTTAGGGACTAGAAACAACCTCGAAACAAGAACTCCCAAAAAAATACAAAACAACGGTCAAATTCAGACTAATTGCACAAGGCAAACTGGACAGTAAACGAGGTTCAGAAAAACCAAACGTCGTGCATGTTCTAGAATTTGGCTCCAAGCCAGCAGGTAAGAAGATCCTATTTAGCTTCCCTTTCCCTGCTAACACTTCACAGGCAGGGGCTACGTCATCAACAAGAACCTTCGAACCATCAATCCTAAACCCTAAACCCTGAAACCCTGAACTTCGCAAATCCTGGCCTGCCTAGGATACTCGATGAATTTTCGATCATTTCCCACTGATGACCCCTACATGCACGTGCCTAAACCCCTATAGCCCCTTTAAAGGAACCCTAGTAAAGTACCTACATGGATCCCCCTACAGCCCCATTACCCCTTCAAAGGGCCCTATTTAAGTAGCTTCCACTTCCTTGTCCATTCCCCTGTAAACGTCTGCAAATGTCTTTTGCCTTCATTCTCCATGAGACAAGTGTCCATTTTGTTTTGGAGTCGTAGGGATAGAGGGAATCCGTATAGGTACTATGTGGTCCCTTTTAAGGGGTTACAGGGATCCATACGGCGATTACCTAGGGTTGGAATGGAAGAGAAAATGGCATGAGCTCTTGCAATTAATTCGTCTTTGCCGATGTAGGGGTCTTTTAGAGCTTGTGGTCAAGGGTGGTTTGGGATTGGGGTTGGGGTTTGTGGAATAAGCGCTGGTGTGATTTTACGGACCAGCACAGAAGCAAAACAAGAAACGAAACTTCTAAGAGCATACTGTCACTGACTTACAACACCCTTAAGCAGTTGGCTCCACGGTGACTGCATTCATTCTGGATGGTTCTAAGAATGCCCCCTCTGGACAGGCCATGGGGCCTGGCTTTGCATCATGGGAAACTAACTTCTTTGCAAAGCTTCCTCCTACACCAAGTTCATGCAGTCTCACCCCTAGAACGTTCCCAATGAGTAATGTCACTGGAACTGTCACTTTCTGGCAACGCACAGATACAGATGTCTCACTCCCAGCGCTGCTAGACTTCCAGTACATCCGCGCTTTTCCTCTGAGAAACTCACTATGTTCTAGTCCCTATTACAAGCCTCGCATACCCTACGGAGTCCTGACATTCGAGGCACAACCTGCCAAATCACAGGGAAATCCTGAATAACACAAAAAAAATGTCCATTTGCTTTGCCATTCCCGTACGTATCCCTATAGCACCGCCAAGTAGCTATATATCCCTAGGGCCTGGTCTCATGGGCATGCCGCCCTTCTTTACGAAGCCTTTTCCGGACGCACCAAAACTTCCATCCATTCCTCTCGGGGCTGTGGGCTGGGTTTCGGGTTTAGGGTTTACATGGAGGGTCAGGGGAAGTTAGTTAGTGGGTGAATACTTGGGATAACTGGGGATATTATGTGGCTCACAGGGTCTACAATACACTTGGTAAGTTTCCCTGATCCCTCAAGCTGGATTCTTTACGGCCGCCATGCACTCCAAATACTGGATACTCGGGCTTACAACTGTTTTCTGGGAGGAAATACTTCAGGGTTTAGGATTTAGGCTTCAAAATTTAGGCTTTAGGGCTTAGCCGTTCTCGGAAGAATTTCTCGAAGCACGGGATGCTGTGTCCCCTAGATATACGCTGCGGTTTAGAGTTTAGGGGATAGGATTTCATGTTGACAATTCCAAATTTCTCTACTTGGCATCAACACAATGAAGCCGAGGTTTAAATTGAATCGGAGGAACAAAATGGCTCGCAAACCCGATATCTTCAAACCTTCAACTCTTCAACCCTGAAACTCTCAGCCCAAAATCCCTTGATCCGATACCTCAAACACAAAAATCCAAAACCGTCAACAGGCTAGACCGAAGCAAATCTTGGCAGCTATGGCTGGCCTGGTCCTTTCTCCGCGCCGAAGCCCTTGCCGAAATCGTTTCCACCTCCCTTGCCGAAATCGTTCCCACCTCCCTTGCCGAAATCGTTCCCGTAGCCTCAGCTGACTCTAACAATCCTGCCTGCAAATCAATGTTGCCTCCTTGTTCTTGCCAAAGTAGTACTTTTCGCGTCGCTTTTCTTGCAGAAAAATGCGGAACCCAAAAGGCGAAGTTCCTCAGTTCCTCCCTAACCCCTAAACCCCACACCGGCTAAGCCAGCCAAGTAGCCTCCGCCCTTGGAATCGCCTCCGAAGGGACTGCTGAAGCCTTTGCCAGGATCGCTTCCCAAGCCTGCTGAGGCGGTTTAGGGCTTCGCGAGAAAGACTACGTGTTTATCTAATGTTGGGTTCTAAAGATCTTAAGGTTTATTCAACAAATCACCCCGAATGCTTGGCCAAGCAGATGTTTGTTCAACATTGGGCTCGCTTCTTAAGGAAACAAATCAGGTTTAACAACAAACCCAAAACCCCTGGGAGTCATGCAAAACATGAGATCAAGCTGCCCAGAAACCTTTTCCAAGATCTCCACCAAAGCCAAAGCCCTTTCCGCCATCAAAACCCTTGCCGCCATCACCTCAGCTCAGCAGGAAAGAAAATGGAAACTACTATAGTATATAGGGGTTATATAGGGATTATATTGGGGTTATATTGGAATAATGGAAAAGAAAATGGAAGCTACTATATTAGTATAGGGGTTATATTGGGGTTATATTGGGATAATGGAAAATAAAATGGAAACTACTGTAGTATATTGGGTATGTAGCTGCTGATTCCATGGAAACTTGGCGTCGGGCTTAGTGTTTCAGGGTCTCGGGTCTATGTAGTGCATGGCTTCGGGCTGAAGATTTAGGGCTAGGTTTTTTCAGACTCTCTGCAGCAGACAGCTTTCCCGTTCCGCCGTTGTCAGTTGAAACTTGCAATTATTTGTTCAACATGTTCGTTGCAATG